GCATCATCCATAGCTCACTGCAACCTCAAACTCCTGGGCTCAAGTGATCCTCCTGCCTCAGCCTCCCAAGGGGCTGGAAGTACAGGCATGTACCACTACAACCAGCTAATATTTTGTAGAGACAGGGTCTCAAACTCCTGAACTCAAGCAATCCTCCCACCTCAGCCTCCCAGAGTGCTAAGATTATAGGTGTGAGCCACTGTGCCCCGCCATATTTTTGCTTTTTTTTTTTTTTTAAATTAAGTCTAAATTTGTGTACGAACAATAATTGTCTCATATATTCTTTGTGGGCATAGATTAAATTGAATCACAAGATGCAAATGTAGTTCAAATGATAGTAATTAACTCATATTTTAGTAGGTAGCTCAGGGAAGAATTCAGAGAAGAGATGATAAATGATTAATCTTTTAACTGATGAGATTGTCAAATGACAGAAAAGGTTAATTGCCTTCTAAATAAATAGAATTCTGTGTGCAAAACGTACGGAGGCATGACGTTGTAAGTTATTTTGCAAAAAATGGTATTTGCAATTTTGATAAGAAGGAACAGATTGACAAACATTTAGGACAAAATCAAAAAAACTCATTAATTGAATGTAAGAGAAGGGAGAATCAGGATGACTCCTAGGTTTCTATCTGTAGTAATTAGCTAAAGGATATGCCATCAATTAATTTAGAAGAATTATAATTTAAAAAAAACAGATTTGTTAAAAGTATATAAGTCCTATTTTAGAATTATTGATTTTGAACTTTTAGGCCAGAGATAAGTATTTGAGAGTTAGGGATAAAGTGTTTTCTCTGTCTGCATGAGAATTTGACCTTAAGTTAATTTCTAGCTCTGATTCCAGGTTTCAAAAACCTGATAAAAGTGAAATTTCAGTTTTGCTACTAGACAACATTGCTTATGGTAAAAATGACCCCTGATGGGTTAGTTGCACCTGGACTGGGAGAACTCTAATCTTGTGGTGGGATGCCATTATGGCGACTCTTGTAATTGGGCATTTCCCTTGTGGGGAACTCGGAAACCATTCCTGTGAAATTGTTATGTGAGATACTGGCTTCTGTGAGGAATATCCTCCTTGAACCTGAACTGTCATTTTAAGACCAGAAAGTATAGTCCTAAACAGCTGGATGGCCTGTTCTGTGAACTGCCACAAGGACTCGCATGAGGGGGTAGAATGCCTAGCACTGCCTTGCCGATACGTGTGTTTTCAATCACTTAACAGCGTAACACACGTGACACACAGTATCCTAGGAAGGGGTGCGAAGGTGAGCTAGGTTTGTGCAGTATAATGTCAGTTTTCTTGGAAATAGGTGAGTTCATGTGCCAAGAACAGGGGCCGTGGGAGTTGGGCAGGAAGTTTGGGAGTTATCCTATTTAAGGGTTTATACTAGCTGGCGAGGAGAATGAGAGAAGCAGCTGACTCAAAGTCCACTTTAGACACAAAAACCTATGGTGCCTGCAGGATTTTTCACTAATAATGTTTGTTTACTGATAGATGTGAGTGGAGAGTATGTATTGTTGAATTAATACTCCATCAGAATTTTTTGGAGTGGGTAGATATTACAGAAGGAGAGGAGGAGGGAAGCAATTGAGTGTGCTGTTAAGAGAGTAGTCCAAAGAAGTTGAGCCCTGGGAGCCTTCATTAGACCCACCTTAATGAAGTTAGAGAGCAGGTTTAACAGGCAGGACAATCCTATAAGGAGAGGGGGTTGTGGTAAGAGAATTGAGAATTGAAGGGAACAGGTCTAGGCGATGACAAAGTCCATATTTTGGCTTCCAGAGTAGTTCACTGAAGCACACATTGTTGGAGTAGTGGAAGAAGTTAGATTCTAATTCTTTTGTGTGTTGACAAGAGTCTGGAAAATGTTTAATATTCTGTTTACTTTCGCTGCCTTATCAGCATTTTGAAGGGATGATTTATTTTGTGAATGTGAAGAACTTTTGTCAGTATAAATTATGGTCTGATGCTACATTTTAAAATTGGATATATTAATGTAGAAAAGAACAATGAAATACTATTAGAATATTAGAATGTATCAGATATATAGAACTCGTTTTATTCATTTAGGCTTACTTTAGATAACCTCAGCACAGGTACCTAGGAAAGTGCCTAACTCCTAGGGAGGCATTCAGGAAACATAGTTTCTTCTCCTCCTGGCCTTGTCTCCTCTTTTCAGTGGAAGTAGAAGCGACTGAACTACTCATCTTGTTGTGACCCACCCAGAACCGTGTTTGCATGTGCACTTCTTGCCCCATCTCAATAGAAGAAATATTCTTCTAAAGCTATTCTACTTGTGCCCTGAATTGCATATTTACTTTCTTACCTGAGTCATGAACATTTTTTAAAATTATTTCAACCCTCTCCTGAGCCTTACACTTTCCTATTCCATTGACTTCTCTCCCCTTTATATATGCTAGGTCACTGATTTGCCTCTCTTGTCTTAAAAGCAAATTCCTCCTAGGGTGATTGTGCATTTATTCCTTGACCCACTACTCTCTCTGGTCCCTGAAATGCTCATTATATTCTCCATTTATTTCCTTGTTGCCAAACCAATGGATATATGTGTATATTGTATGTATGTATTTACCTTCTCATAGACCTTAGATACTATTAAACATACTTTGCTTGACTTCCTTAAAACTTCGTACTCCTTTTGTTACTGTGACACCATTTCCTTGGTTCTCCTACCCTTCAGATGTTTCTCAGCCCATTTTGTTGGCTTTTTTTCATCTACTCCTTTGATTATGGTGCTCCCCACAGCTCTGTTCTTGGCCTGTTATCCCTTCTCACTGTATTCTTAACGTTCGGAGACTAAAAATTCACCAAATTTTAAGCATATTTTTTCCATATTTTAATTTGATTGTGGTATATTTCCTTTTACTTGGCTTTAGAAATCCCATGTTTATATTCAGTGATTTCTTTTAAGCTTAATAAGGATCGTAAAATAATTTTATTCTGTAACTCCTCTTACCAGTGAGGCCTATTATGCTTGCCTAGATTTTACGTGCATTTTTTCCTTTCCTTCTTGTGTTCTATTAGGCTTTCTGCTTAACATTGTTTGGTGAACTGATTTCATATTATCCTCTCCTTGTATCTTGTCACTGACATCTCATTGCTAGTATTCTTTTCTACTTTTCATTCTCCTAGACTGGTTTTATAGCATCTCAACATACCATTAATTGTAGTATAAGCCAGTATGAAATCAGTCCCAGGGAAGAATAGCAAAAGGAAGGGTGGTTGTGACTTGGTGCTTTCGAGCAAACTAGTAATAGCAACTCCATCTAATGATGACATGTGTGTGCTCAAAAATGTTTACTCCTTCCTAGCATAGAAACCTGTGCTCCCAATAGACTGGCCAGAGTTTGCATTTCACCAGAATCTTCTACCACATCCTCCTACTCCCTTTATCCTCATTCCCTGCTTTGTTTCATGGACTATTTGACCTTTCTAGAGTACCCATCCCTATTCTTTCCTATACTTACTTTCACTTCCACTTGAACTCTATCCTAAGTATATAGTTTGCTCTAAAGCACCAAGTCGGTATGTATTTTCCACTTTGATATCCAATAGGCATTTTAAACTTAACGTGTAAAAACCAAACTCCTAATTTCCACCCTAAAATCTGTTCCTTCTATAATCTTCTCCATCTTCATTTCTCAGTTTCCCAAGCCAAACACCATAGTCATCCAAGTCATCCAGTCATCCTTGATGCCTCTCTGCTACCCTACATCTTATCAACTGTACTTTAAAAATATATCCAGGATCTGACCACTTGTGTGGCAGCCACACTTGTTTAAGACATCATCGTGTTTCACCAGAGTATTGCACAGGCTGACCTCTCTGCTTCTGGTTCCCTGCCACCACAGTCTAAGTACAGCAGCCAGCGTAGTCAGATCCTGTCGTTCCTCTGCTCAGAGTGCCCTAAGCTTTCCCATCTCTCTCTGTTATTGTAGGCCTGTGCCCTCTAGGCCTGCATGATCTGTCCTCTCACCATCTTTCCTGCCCTGTCTCTGGGTGCACGCCCTGCCCTGCTTAATCCACCACAGCACTCTGGCCTCCTTGCTTCTGTGACGTTTCTTTCAGGGCCTTTGTGATTGCTATTTCCTGTGTCTGAAATGCTCTTCTGCAGGATACTTACGTGACTATCCAATTATCTGAGGTGTCTGTCCAGTGTCGCCTTAATATGGCTTTTCCTGACCTTTTTTGTGTATAAAAGTACTACGTGCTACTTTTGTATTCTTTCTTTTGCTTTATTCTCTTTTTCTCTTAAATAAAACGTAAGCTCCATGAGGAAAAGGGTGTAGTCTGTTTTGTGTACTGCTCTCTGAACAGCACCTGCTATCTAGTAGGTGCTCAGTAAATACATGTTTACTGAATTAATGGATGAATAGGTATAGTGTTATACCTACCTTTATATATGCAAAGGTACTTTGTTTATTTTGGAATTCTAGGACTAAGAAAACTTTGTTTTGGAATTCTAAGACTAAGAAAGCACTAAGAATACTACTGTCATCTTCCCGTTAGCCTTTCATTGCTCCTGTAGCTACTGTTCATAGTATGTCCATTCCTCAATGCTGTTAGTAGCTCAGATGTTTAAATTTTAGTTGAAAGATTGAATGTCATTTAAAGAGCCCAAATTACAGTTCATAAGAGTATCTTTTCTCTCCTGTTTCCTCTGCGTTGATAGTAAACTTTATTTCAGTTTTTCTTGTCTCATCACTGGGAGAACTGTTTAGCTATTTAAAATGTATTTTAGTTGTTTGACTTTTATATTTATGTATGATAGCAGTATAAGATTTAAGGAAATCGTAATTATTAATTAGAACATGCAGATGGGCATAATGATTAAGAATCTAGACTCTAGAACTGCTTGGTTTTAATCCTAGCCTGGCCACTTAACTAGCTTTATGATGTTGGGGAACACATTAAACTCTCTGAAGCATCCTCATCTGACAAAAAGTGGAGAGAATAATAGTATCTATCTTATGTGGTTATTATGAGGATTAAATGAGCTAATATTTGTAATATGCTTACAAGTGTCTAGCACATAGATGTTTGCTAAATAAATAAAATAAGCCTATTACAGATTTGTTTTTAAATGTTATCATATTTTATATAATCTTATTTATAATCTCACCCATTAAAAATATATAAATATATATTTATAGTATATATGATTTATTTGTATATAAAATTTTCATATGTGTATTCATAATTAAAATTTGATGGTTAATCTTTCTATATTTTTGTCTCCTAGAGCTGCTTATCATCCAGACTTTCCAACAGTTCTGACAGCTTTAGAAATAGATAATGCAGTTGTTGCAAATAGCCTAATTGACATGAGGAGCATAGAGACAGTGCTGCTAATAAAAGTAAGACCAGATCCTTGCTGTATTTTGTATTTTCCTTAAATGTTTAAACCTGAAGACGCTTATATAAATTTCTGGTCCCCTTTTATCATAGAGTTGTTGATATGTTTCACCATTGCACTTTTACCTTAAAGGAAAATCTATAGGATAATATAGAGCTGGTTGGTTTGTGCATTTTCTGCCCCAGGGAACTTTATAACTTTCAGGTATTCTTTGTAAAATAATTTCACAAATGGATATTATTTTTTTGGTGTATGGTGCTATAAAATTTATTTTGTTCATTGTTTCTTGATTGACTGCCAAATCATTTTTTATTTGCCCTTACATACATATATTATTATTATTGTTCTAGTTTTTAACTGAAGTACTTTGCTTGATATTTTACAAATTCTTTCTCATATAACTTTGCACTCTGTAAAATAAATCGATATTTACTCTTCATCTGTGTGTGTATTTTTATGTACTTGTTAGATCACCATACTGTTTCATCTGTTGACATAAATTTGCTGAGAAGGGACAAGTAGATTCAAAACAAATTTGTAATCAAGACAAACATAAATGAGTCTGTAGCCTGTTTTTCTAATTTGTAGAAACTGAGAAGTAACGGTCTCAGTAACCCAAATGTGTATACATGTATGTTGATATTGTAATTGTGGGTTTGGCCCTCTCATATTTTAGAAGTGTACTTGAAAGAAATAAAAAAGCCCTGTTGCAAATGTCTGTCCTTAGAGAGGTTGAGTAGGCCTTGATTAAACCTAATCCTCTTTTTACTTTCTTTGGGGCTTAAATATTTCCATGCTTTCCCTACTTAATTTGGTATACCAATCTTTATTGGAATTTGCTATTTACTTGTATCTTTTCTAGGGCGTAAAAGTCATTTAGAAAAAATAATCTGTATGAACTGGCCTAAAGTAAATATTCTCACCTAAAAAGGTACTTAAAATATTTTTTAATTTTAAATGGATAGTAATACTAGAATTTAAAAATAAAGTACATTTGTCCTGAAGCATAGTTTAGAGACTTTTTAAATAGTTTTAACTCTTTGAACCTTGAAAGTTGTTCATGAAATTCTTATATTTATGGAATTATTTCATTTGAATATTTAAATAAGAATACTTAATATAATAAGGATAGGTAGCATTTTGAAATTCTGTACATCAGGAATGCTTTCTTATAGTTTTAAAATGTATTTTCTCCTGTTTTTTTTAGAGTAATTCTGTAGCTCGTGCAGTAATGCAGTCCCAAAAGCCACCCAAAAATTGTAGAGAAGCTTTTACTGCTGATGGTGATCAAGTTTTTGCAGGACGTTATTATTCATCTGAAAATACAAGACCTAAGTTCCTAAGCAAAGATGTGGATTCTGAAATAAGGTTGGAGTCAAGTTTAGCTTTTCTATATTATTTCCACTGCTTCCTTTAGGGTTTAGATTCCTTCTTATTACTCTTTTAGTGTTTATTTCAGTGAAGAACTACAAGTAATCTATATCAGTACTTGGTCTTAAAAGATCACTTAGCTGGATGTAGAATTCTAGGTTGTCAGTTATTTTGCATTGTCAGTTTGCCAGCAGTGTTCAGGACTGAGAATGCAATGTATTATTCCCTCAACTGGCTGATCTACACATTGTTCATTACTTGTCCTCAAGGAGATAAGGAGCTTAACTCAGAATGTAAATCAGCCACATCACTGTGCCCATTGTTTACTTCTGCCAGTTTGTCCCAGGGAGGGTAAGGAGGGCTGGTGTACATTCTGGCTCAAGATCCTTATTATGTTTCTGACTGGTACTGTGAATTGCACTATTGTAGAAAGAAGATTAGTTGACACAATTAGAGCACTAGGAAAACAGCCGCTAGAGGAGACAAATTGAGTAATTAAATGAAACTAAGAAGTATACTTAATGAAATTTCAAGAGCATGCAAAAAGAATTTTTGGTGCCAAAAATCATGATTTCCTAACTGAACTAATTCAGTTGATGAATTGATGGGTTGGACCTGAATTAATGATTTAGAAGATCTTGAGTAGAAGAACGTAGAACGTAAATAAAAGAAATAGCTAAGAAAATTGAGCAAAAAATAATTGCAAATGCTTGTATGTGTAGGGAAAATGAGAGTTTTGTTGAAATAAATTTCTTCTTTTCAAATAATATTAGTCATTTTTGTGTGATTATGAGAGCAAAATAAAGGAAAATAACCATAATGGATATAGGAAAGTTTAGTAAAACTTCTTATTTAGCAGTAGAAAAAGTTGAACGACCAGCAATTTGGGTGTTATGGCCCTTGCTTTTGCTTATTATCTCAA